AATCCTGTTACTTAAAAATGATTTGGCCGCTGATTATTGGTTGCTCAAAGAACATGCTCCTTCATGACATTATCAAACTTTGCCAATAACTACACTAGGCCAAGAAAGTTTCCATTTCCATTGGCAATACGCTTTTCCTCACTGCCACGAAAAGCCAAATTGTTTTTTTTCCAAAAATTGAATAACTCCCACAATTCTCTCAATTACTGATCACCAGTATTGCTGTTCTTGCTGAAAGATACTCTGATTCTGTTGATCAATTGTACTATTTGCTTTTAAGCAACTTTCCAGCTCCATCCATTTTATCCAGGAATTGTTGTGGTCTTGTGAACGTTCATGCTCACTAAACATGGAACTATTGTTTTTCCAATCAAGAAAACCACTGGTTCTTAGTTTTTGTTTATCGACACTAAACAATTTGCAGCAGAAACAGTATACAGCATCTGCTTTTTTTGAGTATTCAAGCCATGATCTTGTTATGGTTTGATCATTTATCAGGAGTCTATTGTAATTTGAAGCACAAAATCTTTGTTTTCACAAAAATATTGTCCTCACCATTTTCATTAACTGCTGCTGCTGCATCATCAACTGCCCATGTTAGAAATTTTTGAATGAGCAAAAGTTGATTTTCGGGACTTGATTGACCGTACGACGTCCTTGAAACGTCCAACAAATGTTATGAGCCCGCTGAGAGTAAGATAAAAGTTTAAAAGTAAATTCAGATAAGAGTTGAAAGAAACAGTTGACTCTGAATTTGTTTTGAATACAAATTCAAAATACCTAAAAGCAGATAAATAAATCTATATCTTAAACAGAATTGTAAAACTATATCAAAATTGTACAGGCTTCCGGGTTGAATGCTTGTCATAAAGTTCTTGTTGTGTTAGTTGCCAAGGGATGCCAAAAGTACACATAATATAAACTTTTTCAATTTATCAACAAAATAATTTAAAAGTTCCTATAAAAAAAATCATTTTGCTCATAACTCTGTCAAATAGTTTATCCTTGTATTTATCACCTTAGTAACAAAAAATGTCCAAAATTTATTAATTTATGTCTTAATAACTTCAAAAAACTCAATTGTAGCTAACAGAGTTAATGCAATGCAATGCAACGCAATGGTTTATCTTACGTAACGGTTTATTTTATGTAACTGTTTTTATGTAACTGTTTTTATCTCCGATAAAAAGTCTTTAGAAGAATAAAAGTAAAATAACTTCAATTAAATCTTTAAAAAAATTGTTAAATACTTAACATATCGTAACAGTGGGGTTATTTTAAGTTGATAGATCTAAAATTTGTTTATAATAATAGCTATTAACAAGCTATATTTAAAACTTGCAGCTATAGTCAAGTTTAAGTTTTAAACAAAATACATGCAAAATATTTAGTCCATAGTCTACCATGTCTTCAGTTGTAAACAAGAAGCAGTAATGGGTTGATTAGCCAAACAAATACAAGCCAACTCATTTTGATAAGGCTATGAACATGACCATGCTTTGTAAATAACATGTTTATTCGTATGATTTGTATAAAAATGTTTGAAAAGTTATAAACATTCTTGAGGTTTAAACAGATGAATAGTATTCTCGTCATCTGTCTTAAAATTTTGTTAACTGTATATAGACAATCAAGGAATTTTTTTTCGATTTCTTGTTTTTAAAAGACAATTAAAAAAATATATTAGTTGCAAAAAAAACTGTTGGCTGAAATGTTGCTTGCATTTTGAAATAATAAGAACTGTAAAAAAAAAAAAAAAGTGCAAAAATATCTCTAAAAAAATTTGTCTAAAAATATGTAAAAAAACGTCTCAAAGACGTTTAAACGTCCGTAAGATGTCCAACAGACGTCCCCCGAACAACGCATGCCCACTGGGAAGCATTAAACATTTTAATAGCGTTTGAGTTTGACTAAATTCAATTACTAAATAACTTTTTATACTTGTTAAGTGTCAAAGGTTGTCAAAGGTAAGTAGAAGCGCATTGTTCTTGTCACATTTTGCTGTTGTGTTGTTTGATTCATATATATATCTAAATATTGCAAGCTTCCAACTATTGTTAATACATGCATAAATGGTGACTTATGCCAAACCAAAAGTTGATTTGAATTTTTTATTTTATCAATTTTGTAAAAGACCATTTTATCTTGGCTTTAATTATTAAAAGTTTATAAATGAGGCCAATTTTAATAACTCACTTTTTAAAACTAAAAGTACTAGAAGATGTAGTTTACTCGCTTTTAATTCTTTACACAACTAAATTCTTCTTTTTATATAAATAAAATTTTTTTGCATATATAAATACAAATAATAATCGTTCACTTCAGTGACGGATCCAGCATTTTTTTGTATTGGAGCTAACTTCTAGACATGCAGCAAGCTTCAAACATTTATAGTTATGTCAAAAAATGATGCTTTGCAAAAAATTGCGATGATTAGAGGCTGGGAACAAATAAACCCCAAAACTTTGACACAAATCTCCCTCTTCCTCCACCCACCCCAAAAGTAAAGGCAACAAGTTGGTAAAATATTTTTTGTACTACTCTCAACTAGACTTATATTCATGAATAAATTTTAAGTTTCATTGTAATATCTCTTAGCGTTCAAAAATTATGATCAAACAGAGTTTTACCCCCCCCCCCCCCTCTTAATTTGAGGGAGTTACAAAATTTATATGGTCATAATTTTTGAAGGCTGAGAGATAATAATATTTTATCAACTTGTTGCCCTCAAGTTTGGGATGAGAAAGAAATAAAATTCAGGGGTTTATTTGTTCCCAGCCTCCAGATCCTTATTTGTTCCCTCCTCCTTCATAAAATGTTCCATAAATTTTCACAATAACATTAAAAGTGCTATTTAAAAAAGATTTAAACAAGCTTTAAATGAATAAAATTGTTCTTTATGCGTCTTCTTCAGTTTTTAAAGCAAAATCTACAAATGGATATTATTAATAGTAACAAGCCGCATCTACTGCATTTAGCTGAGCTCAGAAAATTCGGTTGTAAACTTTTATCTATATATGAGAGTGTAATTTAAAGTAAATTACTTGTTCGGCCTAGTATTTTTTTTGAAAAGCAGAAGCGACGTCAGCATTTTGACGTCGCTTCTGTAGCGACGTCAGCATTTTGATGTAAATACGATGTCATTCTTACAGCAAACAATTTCAATTCAACTTCCGTTATATATATTTTTGTTTAACTCAAGAAAAAATCTATTTTATGTATGTAAATGTATACATATACACACAATAGATTTTTTCTTAATTTAAACGAAAATATACATTAAAACACATAATAAATTTTCAAACGACTAAAGGCGTAAAATAGAAAGAATAAAGACACAATTTTAAGTAAAGAAAATATATATTTTTAAACTGACAACTTTTAAACATGTCTTTTTTTATATAATTCTATACAACGCCCACTTTCTTCAACATCGACTATCAGGTACGTATCCTAAAATCATATGAACTTCGCATTTTATCTCTGCAATTGTCATGCCGCTTCTTCCCTTTGCTACACTAACACTAGCTAAATATAAATGTACAATATATGTTAACTTACGTTAACATAGAAGCTAATAACATAACAAATATGAAAAACAATTAAACATAAAATAATAAATAATGAAATGAGAAATATGACAAAACATTAAAAAATAACAACTACTTACCTAGTATTAACAATTAATAAATAACAACCTTGACTTACTTATAATAAGAAAACATGCAATTTTTTAAAACTTCATTTTTCTGATACTGTTTCTATATTCTTTTTCTTATCATGATGATTGGTCCCTTTCATGTTGAAGCACAACATCACTTTCTTTGACATCAGACAATAAAATATAAATAATAATAAAAATATATTTTTATTATTATTTATAGTTCTTATGGTGCTCCACCAACACTTAACTTATCACAGAGCATCGTGGAAGAGAATTTAACTAGAAAGGTCTAGCCTTTTCCCTTACCAATGTCACTTATTTGGCAAGTACCGGGATTAAACCTCTTGGTTCTGAACCAGACCACTAATCACTGCGCCACAGCTGCTTATATAGTATATAGACTTTGCATAGTAAACCTATAAAAAATATTAAAGTTTTATTTCGAATTATTTTTATGTAAAAAAGTAACTTAAAAAAGCAACGAAAGGTCTTTTTTGATATAAGAGCTATTACCAAAAAGTAGCATTGTAAAATTTGTAACCTCTTCAAATTGAGGGGGTTACAAACACCCCCACGGTGTTGGCGACCATGAGGGTATAGTATAATATTATACAACTAAATATTACAATTTTAGTGTTGTCATTATGTTCTGAAAACAACCTGAGTTTATTATACTTGGTCATTTCTGTGTTCTAAAACTATCCCGAGATTATTACCCGAGTTTAAGATAATATTGTTGCGTCTATCAAATTATTTTCTTTAAAACGTATAAAGTTCCAATAATATAAACTGTTAAGTTCCCCTTGGCAATAGTTAATATAAATATTGTGGGTACAAGTGTTTTGATTTATTGCAGTCAGCTATCAAATATCAACAGACTTGGGCGCTCTTCTCTACTATTTCTTAGCAACTCTTCTTTATGTTTAAACTATCTTGTATCCTAATTTTGTATTATAAATATATAAATAATTGAATTCGTTTTAGAATTCCACTCTAACGTAAAACTACAAATATTACCCTGATTATATGTACTAATTAGTAAATATTCAATCTGATTATCGCAACAACAATTTAACAAAAAATTTATGCTCAGACACTGATTAACTTAATTTTTTTTTTTTTATTAACTAAAATCATTTTTGTTTCTATTGTGTGTCATTAATAATTAGCGTGCTAATTATTGACAAAAGTCATAAGTTGTGATTTTTTATTATTATAACGTTTTTTTTATTAATTGTCGACAAGAGTCACAGGTTGTATTATATGCTATATAAAGCGAACAATTTTTTTTTGTAAACTTTGTATATAAGTAAAAGAAAACGTCAACAACAAAAAAATGGCTTTTAAATGTGTCGAACAACAAGCTAACCGGGCATGTCTATTATCTCCGCAATATGAAGATGGACAGCCAAAGCAATTTATTCGAAAGATTTATTCCTTCTTTGCAATAAAAAATATAACTTCAGATCAACACGTAGCGTTTTTGCTTGCCGCTCTGCCGTTAAAGACTTACAAGACCATGGAAGAATTAACAGCACCGGAAGTTCCAGAGGATGTTTCGTACAAAGAATTGGTAACGAAATTGGAAACGTTGGAAATAAGAAAATCATCGTTAATCTCACGGTATTGTTATCATCTGTTAAATCATCGTTAATCTCACGAGTTTGGAAAAATTTACCGAGGTACTGAAGAATCTATACAGACGTTCGCGCATTGAGTGATTCGAGCAGCTCAAGACTGCAAGTTCTTGCCCTCAGAGAGAGACGGCCGACTTCGTGACCAATTCATAATTGGCATTAATGATGGTGCCATTCTGCGTGCCATTCTTAGGGGAGACGATGCATTGAGCTTTGACGATTGTGTCAAGACTGCATCCGTGGTTGCACAAACAAGATTAGATGCGGCATGTTTATCTGTAAATGAAGAAGTAAATGCGATTCACCGGACGACTGGAACGACAAGTTATACACGAAGAAAGAAAGAAATTCGATGTAACAACTGTGAATCCTTAAATCACTTTGCAAGTGAATGTACCTCTTTATGCAAAAAATGCTTGCATAAACATGCTGCAAAAGACTGCTACAAACGTCAAAGAAACCAGGAAAACTTAAATGGGACGAATTCGCATTAGGTATCTTTACAAGAACTCGTCCCGAAACAAGACTACCTACTATTGACTCGGTAATAAACGGAAGAAAAGCTAAAGCGCTTGTGGATACTGGTTGTTTGCAATCAATCATCACCAAGAAGTTACTGCCGCCTGACTATAAAGTGATTCGTGTAGTAAATGTTGCAACAATGGGCGGAATAATTCGATGCGAAGAAGTTAGTGCTAAAATATGCCACCCAACGAACGGGTGCTTGATGGATGTGGTGGTTCTGAGTGTGAATCAAGTAATAAACAAATACGATATGATTATGGGTATGAACTTAATAAAGACGTGTAATGGACTACGAATTGGCACTGGAAAACTGAAATTGTGTAATTCTTTGATTGAGTTGCCATCGAAACTTTGTGTTGCGACAATTGAAATTGGAACAAGCAAAGCTTATTTTGATGGCAAAAAATGGATTGTAAGTTGGGAGTGGGAAAACGAACCTAAAATGAAAAATAGAACAAGTCAGTATAATGTAGCTGACCAACATTGTGAGGCGTTTAACAACGAAATAAATGAATGGATCAAAGAAGGTATACTCATCAAATATGACGATAAAATTATGGGAAAACCTGTAAAAGTCTATGTAAAAGTCTCTACAAGGGATGCTCATGTCATCAATGATGCAATGAGGGAGTGGAGACTCATGAGTAAAAACAGCAATGACTCGGTAGTGGATCTAAGAAGAGCATATTTACAAATTCATGTGCATAAAAGGCATTGGCCTTACCAGACGGTCATCAATATAAATCAGCGATGTGCACTTACACGTTTGGGCTTTGGTTTAAGTTTAGCACCAGTGATGATGAACTCAATATTGCGGTACGTTCTCCAACAAGATTCTGCACTGGCAAAAACAATAAGAGGATACATTGTTGGCACCCTAGCAATCAATGGAAATGGAAGAAAGCTGGTGATACATATGAAGAAATGGGATCTTCATGCAAAAGCACCTGAATATTTTGGCGAAAACACAGTTCGTGCACTAGGATTAGAAGTCACAGTAAATCCATTAACAAAGGAGATGTTTTGGAAGAGAGGACGCGAGCTTCCTATTATTAAATCTGTGCTCACAAAAAGGGATATATTCTCATTATGTGGTAATCTGATTGCTAATCTACCAGTTGCTAGATGGTTGAGACTGGCATGCAGCTATATAAAAAGATGTACAAACGAAGCAGGTTGGGATGAACCTATTACGAATAAGTATGTTATCGAAATGATGCAGGAAGTTGGAGATAAAGTCGTAAAGTGCGATCCGGCAAAAGGTGTATGGAATGTTAAACCAAATGCATCTCTGACTGTATGGTGCAATGCAAGTTCGCTGGCAAAGGGAGTTGTGATAACGCAAAGTGACAGAAAGATAGAAGATGCAACATGGCTCCGACCAAAGTCTGATGCAATGCATATCAATGTGGCCGAATTAGATGCATGTATTGAAGGTCTAAATATGGCATTGAAATGGAATCCAAGTGATGTCTCTATTAAAACTGATTCTCATAGTGTATTTAGTTGGTTAAATTCTGAATTGACTCGTGATAAACCTGTGAAATGTGCTGGGCAATGCGAAATGTTAATTCGACGAAGACTTCAAATATTTGAAAAATTGGTCGAGGATTATGTCATAAGTGTAACTGTTACATGGGTACCAACAACTAAAAATATTGCAAATGAACTCACAAGAGTGCCAACAAAATGGAAAAAAAACAAAGTTGCAACACAAGAATGTAATACCATTTATAAGTACGATAAACAGCAGATTCGAAAAATTCATTCAATAGCACACATGGGAGTTTCCAAGAGTATGGAGTTATGTATGCGCGCTGGTATCCACGTTACCAGAGACACAGTGAAACAGGTTGTCGCTGAATGCGATGAATGTAACTCGATTGACCCTAATGTGATGTCGTGGGATAAAGGAAATCTTGCTGTCAGCAAAGTATGGGAAAGAGTAGCCTGCGATGTTAGTCATGTTGATTCATCGCTATATCTCACTTGTATTGATTGCGGCCCAAGCAGATATACGTTATCGACACCATTAAGCGACGAAAGTGCAACTAGGGTTGTTCAAGCGTTAGAAACAATATGGTCAACACTTGGACCTTCTTCTGAAGTTCTTCTAGATAACTCTAAGTTATTTAGATCTCAGCTTATGCAAACTATGGCTGCGAAATGGGAAATAAGGCTCATCTATCGAGCTGTTGAAAAACCACCGGGAAATGGGATAGTTGAAAGAGTTCATCGGACGGTAAAAAGAACAAATGCAAGAGTAAAATGTGGTATTCCCATGTCTGTATTTTTAATCAATAACGCTCCATTAAAACACGGCACACCTTTTGAAATATTTTGCCAACATCACAAACGAGTTCGAATTCCTGGAATCGATAAAATCGAATCAACACAAAAGTCGACGACAGAGTGTCGTGAATGGAAAGTTGGCGACAAGGTGTGGGTGAAACCCAAGCACATAACGCCGTATACGCAACGATGGCTGAAAGAAAGTATAGTGGCATTGCATAATGGTTTAACAGCTGAAGTTGATGTCAACGGACATACGTTACCACGACATTTTTCTCATCTTTTTTCTATTATATGCTATATAAAGCGAACAATTTTTTTTTGTAAACGAAAAACTTTGTATATAAGTAAAAGAAAACGTCAACAACAAAAAAATGGCTTTCAAATGTGTCGAACAACAGTTCCAATAAATAATTTTTAATTGGTGTTTTCATTTTAGAATTATCTGTGCGTGTATAATATTTGGAGTTCAGCGTCTTTTACAAAATTTATTTATACGCAGCGATGAACTAAATAAAATTCATAACTATTTGATTGAATTACATGATACAAAAAAGTCAGCCTTAATAATGTATTGAATGTTAGGCGTAGGAAAGAGCTTGCCAGAAAAAATTGCGAAATTTTTCATGATTTTTATAAAAACTTTCCCAAAAAGAAACTTTTTGGATAGATGCAGTATTTAGAAAATTGCAGAATTTAATGCACAACCTTTACTATAAACTAGGATTTGCTTAAGATTTAAAAATGGATTATTTAAACATAGATGTAATAATTGAAAAAAACTTATAACTTCTACAAAAAGCAAAAGATTTATTTTTGACAATATTGACAACGAGTCTGGGAATTAGGAAAATATATTTCAAAAGAATCAAACTCGTTTACTTTGATTACTTCACAGTGGAGAACATGGTCCGACAATGTATATCAAATGCAAATAAATTTTTTTCCAGAAGATGCTTTCTGTTACATGAAAAGTTCAATAGAAACAACTGATGACGAAAAATTGAGAGAAATATCAAAAGAACTTGGCTTTCATCCATTTGCCATAAGTCAGGCAATAATTTATATTAACGGTAACTCAATTTCGTTACAAACATGTTTAGATCGATATAAAACTCATCCTGTTGAAATACTAAATGAAAACAAGTTTCCTAATGAAGAAAAATCAAAGTCTGCTATAAAAGCTATTTATTTAGTATTGAAAAATGTTAAAGAAAATAGAAATGTAGCATTTAAAATCATACACTGTTTATCTCATTGTGATGGTCAAAACATTAGAAAACAATCTACAATCAAAATTTTAAAACTCTTAAATATAAACGATAAATATTTGATTGATAATACTATTAGATTACTAGTTAGTAATTCCCTACTAGATCAATTCAATAACGAAAAATATACTATGCACAAGTTAACACAACTGTCATGTAAATATTTTCAAAGCAAAAAATTCTGTAAACTTCATGATTATATTATAAATCTTTTAATATTAAATTGAAAGATGTAGAGGAAATGCTGAATATGGAAGCCATTTTGTTTTGCATTTTCTTCACATGTTTCGAAATAACACACACAAAAATGTCGGCTACATTTCATAACGATACAAACGATATACAACGCTTCTTAACATGTAAAGGTATTTTTCACGAGACCATTAAAATATTGGAGGCTATTCAAATATATAACAGAAAATTATGGTGAAAATGATCACTTAACCTTAATTACAAAACATATTGCACTTTGTTTGTATAAAATGGGAGAATATAAAAACGCCTTAGAAATTAATTTTTTTTTATATTGATTTTAGGTGCCCCAAGAAGTCCTTACGGTCTTATCACAGAGCACCGCGGAAGAGCATTTAATAGAAAGTTCACGCCTCTTTCCCAACCGATGTCGTAAAACTTGCCCAGAGATGGGGATTGAACCATGAATCTTACGTTTCTGAGGCAAGTGCGCTACCACTGCGCCACGGCTGCTTAATTAATTATTCTGTTGATAAAATAAAAAGAAACTTTTGGGAACAAGTCATTTATCAACAATGGCCACTAGCATAATATAAAAGCAATGGCCACTAGCATAATATAAAAGCATAATAAAAGCATAATATTGCATTCTGTTTGTACGAAATGGGAAAGTATAAAGACGCTTTGGAAATTTATTATTCTATTGATAAAATAAAAACAAAAATGTTAAAAATTGATACTTTATCAGCAGTAGATATTAAAAATAGTATTGGAAGCTGTTTATACAAAATGAGAAATTACGCGGAAGCTTTAAAAATTTATTATTCTGTTGATAAGATAAAACAAAAACCCCAGGAGCTAATCATCTGCCAACGATGAACGATGGATACAAAAAAAATATTGATAACTGTTTGTGCAAAATGGGAAAGTATATCAAAGCTTTAGAAATTTATTATTCTATTGATAAAACAAAAACTAATATTCTAGGAGTTAGTCATCCATGAACAATGGATACAAAAATTAATACCCGAAACTGTTTATGCGAATTAGGAAAGTACGAAGTACGAAAGTACGAAGCTTTGGAAATTTCGCATTCATTCTCATTTTCCCTAATTCCGAGAAAGCTTGTTGACATTTTTATTCGGTTGATAAAATACAAACGGATGATTAGCACCAATGTCGAATGATGATTGGTACCAAAATGTTTTTGGTACCAATCATCCTTCGACAATGGATATAAAAAATATTATTGGAAGTTGTTTGTACAAAATGGGAAAGTATAACGAGGCTTTAGATATTTACTGTTCTGTGGATAAAATAAAAACTGAAATTTTAGGAAAACATCATCCATCAACTATGAAAACAAAAATTAATATCGGAAACTGCTTGTGCAAAATGGGAAAATATACCGAAGCTTTAGAAATTTATCATTCTGTTGATAAAATACAAACTGAAATATTAGGAATCAACAATTAACAATAAGAACAAAAAAAAAAAATTAGAAACTGTTTGTGTGAAATGCAAAAGTATAACCAGGCTTTAGAAGTTTTTATTTTGTTAATAAAATCCAAACCGAATTTTTAAGAACCAACAATTCATCAACAATTAAAACAAAAAAATACAAAAACTGTTTGTTTGAAAATGGAAAGTATAACAAACAAATCTTTAAAAGCATGCTATTCTGTTGATAAAGTCTCTACTTCAAATTTATGAATTAATCACTCGTAAAAAAAACAACAAAAAAACAAACTCTTATTTATGATTTTAGGCATTAGGTTACACAATATATCAAGTTCAAACAAGTGATTTCTAAATTGACAACTTATTTAAATTTAATTTATAGTTAATTTTTTTGATTACTTATGTGAAAATAGTTACTTAACAAATTATGAATCTTGTTAGAAGATAAGTTTATTCATTACATTTATGTAGCTTATAATTTCTTTCATCAAACGCAAGTTTTTGGTCCTAAGTCACACAAAAAATAACCCCGCTTATCTAATACCTTATTTTAAAATAAAATAAAATTAATTACATGGTTCGACAAAATGTTTATTTCATAAAATAAGGTAAATTAATATCAAAAATGGGTTAGAGAACCCATTTTTGGTATTAATTTACATTTCCTTAACAGAATGAAACAAACTAGCTTTAGTTTAAAGCTAGTTTGTTTAAACTAGTTTAAAGATTTCACAAAACTAAATACAAACAATACTTAAAAATTAATGCAAAAGAATACTTTAAAAAAAAAATTTCAAAGGAAAATTTCTTTCAGTTATTCCTGTAAGCTCAATGTTTTTATCTTTTTTGACCTATGTTCATCCTTAATTGTTCATAAAATTAGAGGGACAGAAAAACTATGGCATCAGATCTTTATTTATGTCTTTTTCTCATTGGTAAATTTTTTAAAAACATTGAAATCTTTTTTTCCCAACACTAAAGCTACATACTAACGAGCAAGATTTTAGCATTACCAATTAGTTATCTCAAATACATCCTAGTTTAGAACAATTGCTGCACGCTTGAGTATATAGCTTGTTTCAGTTCAAAAACTCTGTAAATTTATTAAAGGAGTAGGTCAAAAAAATTGACTGTTGCTTCATTATCATAATGCTTCTAGTAAGACTAATTCGTAATTTTGATTGCCACATTATTTAAAGAGTTAAAATCGCATGACCAGTGGTAATTATGGCTGGCGTAAACAACAGTTGGTGGTTTACATGTGTTATTATTAAAGGTTCACATAAGATAAAAAGACTAAAAAAACAATAGTTTCTCGAGACATGGCTTCGATTATTAACCGGGGATTATTATGCTGTATTTTAATTTTATATAGAAAACAAAAATAACGAAAACAAAATATATATAGAGCAATTTTTTAAATAATCACTGTAGGTAAGAAAAAGAAAAACTATTATAACTATAATTATTAAAAGATAACAATATATTTTTTCACTTCAACAAATAATTTTTCCGTAAATCTAACGATAAAAAGCCTAAAATTTATAAACATTTAAGTTACTTTTTGTAAACGCTTTTTAACGCTCTCAAGAACAAATATATATTCACTATTTTAGATACCAATGATGTTCAAGTTCTATTTAAATAATAAGTTTTATAACCTTTATTAAATGCTACTAAATAAAGCAAAAGTAAAAGCAAAAAATATTTTTGTAGAATGCCGCATTTAATTTGTCTGATTTCGGCCATTCCGTTTTTTTGGAATGTAAACGTTTATAAATTTGTCGAACAAAATAACTACAAAGGTTTTTTCGTAAAAAATTCTAAATAATTCTTTAAATGCAAGTAACTTAAAGTAATTAATTTACTTAACATAATTAAAATATACAAAATGTAATGTAAATATAATATAAGCTTTTTAACTTGATATTTAGAATAAAAGCATATATAAAAATCGCTCAAATATTAAACGATCAAAAAAAAAAAAGAGCCTTTGCAAGTTAATTTAAAATTCGGTTAAGTATTTAAAGTTACTTTAATGAATTCTTGTTTCATTTATTAGCGTTGAGATGTTTAGCCAAAAGGAGTTTCGATTGTCGCTGATGACGTAACGAAGCTTGAAAATCATCCATTAAAAATGTTGTTTAATAATAACAAAAATATTTTGAATATTTGTAAAGGTTAAATTGGATCAAAAAATATTTATTTACCCAAAAATGAACTTTGTGTTGCATTGCAAATCGGTTTATAAACATTAGAACGCTATATATATATATATATATATATATATATATATATATATATATATATATATATATATATATATATATATATATATACATATATATATATATATATATATATATATATATATATATATATATATATATAATATATATATATATATATATATATATATATATATATATATAAATATATATATATATAAATATATATATATATATATAAATATATATATATATATATATAAATATATACAAATATATACATATATATATATATATATATATATATATATATATATATATATATATATATATATATATATATATATATATATATGTATGTATGTATGTATGTATGTATGTATGTATGTATGTATATATAATATATATATATATATATATATATAT